TGTGTTTAGTCATAGGACTAAAGGTGGGATTAAACTTCTTCGAGTAGGACTCATACCAAAATAGTGTGGGCAACAACTTTGATTTGCCTATGAGTCAGTCGATTTTTTCCAGAAATTTGCTTATTGTAAATATGAAGGGAGGAGAAATAAAATTTCCTAGTTAGGTAGAGGAAGAAAAAATTAATGTAAAAACAGGCTTAATTCAAAAAAAACCCACATAAGCTAATTTGACTTAAATGTATTCCAGTTTTATAGAAAATTCGGCATAAAAACAAAATAAGAGCAATAACTTCACGTATATTGTTGCTCCATCATCTAATAATATTGAACATCTTCTTAATGTCAGGGTGGGCAACAGTGGGAAAATTCAGCCTACACAAAGAAACATTCCCAAATGTGTTATGGCTAATCGACTTCGCAGGATCCCGAAATATGGTTGTATGTCGCACTAGATTCCACCACAAGAAAATTCTATCTCCAGAGCGAAAAACTTTCAACCACATCGATTATTTTGTGTTTTAAATGTGCGTACGTTCCGAGGTCCTAACATCGACTCGGATCACTATCTTGTCGCAGCGAAGATACGCATGAGCCTCTGCGTATCGAAAAACGCCCAGTAAAATACACAAGGAAGGTTCGTCGTTGAAAAGCTGGAATCACAACAGACTGCTCTCTGAGAGCAATCATCAACAACCCGGTATTAGGGAAATTTGGGACGGCATTGCTAGCTTCCTACGTACAGCTGTTTGGTGGCCGAGCAAGACGCATTTAGGGGGTAAAAGAAAGAGCCTGTAATGGGTGAGTACAAGGAGCTTGAGAAGCTGGCCGACAAGGGTAAAGCTCGAAAATTCTACGAAAAAGATAAAGGTTTCAAAACCGGAGCAAACTCTTGTAGGACCCAGAGACAGAAGGTGAACCCGAAACTCCAGTTTATGAAAATGGAAAAGTTGTTCCATTACCTGACTGTGAAGATGGACGAATAGGAATCGCCCGCTCACTGTACAGATACAAAAAAAAATAGGCAAAAGCCTTAGTTCAATTATGTAATTTATTTCATCTAATTTAATGTATTTTATTTTGTATCTCTATTTCATTTTCTTACATTTTTAGGGGAGTTGAAACGTTATTATTGAATTACTGGATTCTATCGTCTTTTGGATGGGACGCCACAACAACTCGCTTTCTTGTGGTGGAGTTGGTATAAGCAGGCATAACTCACATTAATTAGCCGTTGAAGGTGGAGTTTTCGTATGACTCGTGTCCAAGTCCAACTCGAAGGGGGAAATTTTTTTTTAATAAATAACTGTTTTTTTTTTTTTGTATAAAACTTATTTATAAATAATCAAGTTTTTGTACATTCTTAAGGGTTTTTTCAGAAATTATTAAATTTTCCTGAAATACTGTGTTCGCAGGTGATCAAAATGAATTGAAGGAAGGTTGGCTGGATTTCGAAACCGACCTATTTTTTTCTATTTATTTTATTTATTTATATTTTCTATTTATTAATTTTTTACTTAATTAAAATTTATCTACAATTATTTTTTTTATTAATTGGGATGAATCACAATGTTATGGTCTGCAATTTTACGTATTAACGTATTATTTTGTCCTTAAGCTAAGCTAAGCTAAGCTAAGATTTTGACCCAACGTCGAACGTTCTACGTTTTTCTACGAAATAAGTTAATTACACAGTGAACTCGTTGGCGTTAACATAGAATGCAAAATTAATTTAAACAAAAAAAAATTAAATTAATTACTTTTTATGGATGGGGAGGATTTATTATTTATTTACGTATATTCATTTCCCTTGCCTTAACCTTAGTACTAATTTAATATAATTTAATATAATTTAATTTATTTTATTTATTTATTTAATTAAATTTTGAATTATTTTAACAATTTTTACTTTATTTAATGATATTTTATTTTATTTATTTTGCTTTTTTTTATTATTTAATTAATTTCTTGATTCTTTTCTTTTTGCAATTTGTGCGCGAAATCGCTTTTTTGCCAGTCTCATAATGGTTCGCACCTTCACTTTCGACTGGTCCGATAATGGGTCTTATACGTGCTAAGCAATCTGATTTATTCCTACATTTTCGTCTTCTTCTTCTGTAACATTCTTGATTAACATTTTCTGATTGTAGTCTTCGCTCTTACGTTTTATGCGTACGTATCAATGAGCTTAAAATGCGACGCCATAAGCTACATTATGGTTGAAAAGTTCACAAAGCTCTTAACTTTTTCCAAAGCTTTTTTATTAGGGCAGTATTTTGCAAAATATTTAACAATGCAAGAGCTTTAAGCTTTCCATAATAGGTTCAGTTATTAGAAAAATATCTAATTAAAGGAAAATATACATCAGCACGTATTTATAGTATACATTCAGATATGCAAAAACATTTTTAGTTAAAATTAATTCTGTGTTGGTTCATTATTTTCTGTTACAACTGGGCTAATTTGGCTAAATAAATAAATGCCTCTACATAAGATTAGAGTACAATATTTTTAGATAAGAAATTACGCAGTTTAAGAAGGAATATACCTACATTTATACATGATAAAGATTTGTTTTTATTTTTTATATTTCACACAGAAATATGTTAGGAACAGATATTTCGTAAACACTTTGCCAGTAAATATTTTCTTTTTCACTCACTAAAACTTATTTCTTAAGAGCAATTTTAATCAACTGAACCAAAAAGAGAATCTGGGAAAATTAACCAAAAAAGAGAACTCCTACAATTAAGATATGATACTTTCCTTCTTACAGCCAACCTATCGTTTATTCGCTGTGGTGAGTTCGAGAGTTCAATTTTATTTTTTTTTAACTCAGCTTTCATCCACTTTTCATTTTTGTTCCAATCGATATATCAGCTATCTGCAAAGGACTGTTGCCAGGAGGTCTGTTTTTCTGGTATTAGGATTATCCCACTCCTTCTTCTTCTGTACTGGTGTAGACATCACTTACGTGATTATAGCCGAGTTAAAAATAACACGCCAACTGGAGACACTAAGTGCAGCCAGGACCTTCTGTATCTCATCCTGCAAAAGGAGTGGATGTCTTTCATCATCCACTCTAAAGAGGGCAGAACTCACGGACAATGATGAGGTTTGTACCTTCTCTATTCAGCTCATCAGCTTGTATTATTTATTCCATAAATAAGTTAAAGTAGTCACATGATAAGGAATCACCTTGTCTGAAACTTTGGTGGGTATTGATTGGCTCGAAGCGCTTCTTCACGATCCGTATTTAGCTATTGGTATTGATCGAAGCCAGTTTGTGCAACCTGCTATGAAGAGTCAGCTCCTAATTTCTATAATCCTGTCAAAGGCAGTTTGAAAATCTTCAAGAAGGTGGTGTGTTTCAAGTTTTTTCCCAAAGGTATTTTCCATTTCCATTTCCTTTCGTTCAGATAGTGTATTTAGGGATGATCAAGAAATTTCAATAGTTCGACTGACAATCCAACGGCACCTTCCGCTTCCGGACAAGCAATTGCTGTACGAACTTCATCATAGCCGAAATGTTCCTAAGTTGCAGGTTTGTTAATAAAGTTCTATCTGCTTCAAGGGTGTTCCGTTTTCATTACCATTCAGCAGGACGCATATAGATTCCCTCCACAAGCTCAAGTTGCGCAGACTTCTTCTAACTCGGTTTCGTCTGCGGTACGCGGACAGTCAATTAGCTTAACGTTTCTTTTGTACAGGAATCTAGTACTACAGATAATCATATTTTGTGCCCGATGAAGTCACCCAGAATCGACAATTTAGGGATGTTTTATCATGGATACCGAATTTTTCGGTAGTTGAACCAAGAAAACATCTTAACCTACACTTGAATTGAAGTCTTAAAGTACAATATTGGCATTGTGGTGAGGATACCGCTGCTGGCACGCTTAACAGGCATCATTTTGATGTGCATTGTGGTGAGAGCCTCCAACCCAAGTGAAAGGACATGGCGAACCAGGTTTGGACTCCTTTATAAAGTTCATTTAGTGAATTTCATAAGGACGGTATTTTCGCGACATTGTACCGTCCATTACGATTCTCAAACGACGCTGATGTCAGCCCTTATTTTTATGAGGGCATCAACCAGAGGGCAGCTGCATCTGGCCATTTAAGGGACCGGAAGTTCCGAGTACATGCCCTTAAATCATAACTAGCAACACGCTTGCATTTGTCGTCATAAAAAGTGGGGTCTCTTAACAGAGACGTTGTCAATTTTTCCATTGGAGCTTTTTCCAACGAGACAGTTTCATTAGAGCCTCGCATGGTGACCAGGTCTCGACTTTGCACAGGTTTTTATGGCGAACCGCTGAAGCTTTCTCTTTTTTAGCTGTGACCCAGGGTTCTACATGGGTTGGTCACGGCATCTTGCACAAATGTTGCTCACGTTTTCAGGGTGCGCGAAGTGGGCGCAAGAGTACATCCCATTCCAACCCGCACTACTATTATAAATTACTTTAACTAAAACTTCTCTTCATTATTCTTCACTTGTTCATAGAATTTTTACATACGACTATGTACAGGAAGAAAGTCCTTAGAGTTGATGACGTTGAACAGAGCAATTCTCCGATCATAAAAATCCGAGCTACCTAGGTTATGTGATGAGAGTTGATCTCAGCAAACATAATCTATTACTATTGAAGTAGGGGATCAAACTGAAGTGGAAGTGGTTGGAAAACCCTCAAGTCGCTGCTTCGGCATAATCAAGAGAGCTCTTATACCTTCATGAGGTAATATGTTAATCGATGATTTGATAAGCTGATGGGTGGCCTAATAATTGGCATAATTGTTATTTTCAATTTTTTTTTATATTATATTTATATCTATGTTTCGAACAAACATTTAAACAAATTTTAAGCTACCGTAACACATCCATATATACCTATTCCTTAAACTAAGAGGTACTTAAAGTAGATTTAAAACTTTTAATGAAAACAAAATTTAATTATAAATGTTTATATGCATTTTGGTGTGTGTGTGTGTGTGTGTGTGTGTGTCTGTCTGTCTATGACATTTCTGTTTTGTTTTTGCTGAAAGTATAAATAAAGGTGTTAATCCCTCAGTCTATATTTATTACACTCATGTGCAACATATTAATACACATACATACATATGTATGCATTTGTATTTAAAATGATCTATTAATACAATACAAAAATCACGCATTCATCGCTGTATGTCCCGCCGACTGCGCATTTTCATCTCGCTGCTGTTCACTTCTGCCGCTCTCCAAGCCCGTAGACGCCGTGATCGATTGCAACTCTGTCGTACGCTTGCCACTCGCCTTCTTCCGCTGCGGATGCAGTAAATTTAGCCATGCACCACGTGGCACTTCATCGAGAATCACAAAATAAATAAATAAAACAAATCCTTGCAGGGTGGCTGTGAGGCAGAAGAGATAGGAGAAGAACACACCCGCCTGCATGTACGCAAACAAGCCGAAGATCCATGAAATTCCGAGCAGAAAGAATAATAAAATCGATAAGCGGATCTGCTTCACAATCATCTTCTTCTCATTGCGGTGCATTGCCTGATTAAGCGTATGCGAAATACTGTAGAAAACATAAATGAAAATGGTCAGATTGGCAATGACAATGGCGGTGATAGGCACGATGACGCCGAGTGCGAGTCCCAGACCGCTGGGATAACAAATGCCACTGCTTGCTTGTATCTCATATTCCGTAGGTATGTATGATCTGGGATTTATGCAGGCCACCAATAAAGTGGGTATGAGCGGTAAGCCCCAAGCAACTATTGCCGATTTCAAGATATAACGTTTCGGACGCTCAATACCGATCACGGTGACATAACGTTGGAATTGCAACATGGCTATGATCAACATCCACATGAAGAGCACCAATATGGAATACTGCATGAAAGCGCCCAAAATGACACAATCCACATATAGACTATCCTCCACCAGCTCTGCGGACATGTCCTCGGTATTGACGAACACAAACAGTACCATTTGCAAAGTGAGCGCCACACAGAGGTTTAGCAGAATCTTTGTGGATGCGAGTGTACGCCAACTCTTGAACAATCCAGCTGTCACCCAAATACACAATAGGCCCACCAGCGAGAGTGAGCAGCCAATAAGTGATATTATATCTAACGCACGCATGTGTATGGGTGTAATGAGTACATCACCGCTAATGTCGACCTGTTTGTAGCTGCCGCCGAGTAAAAATGAGAATTGAGTCAAATGTTCGGTGCGACATTGTATAACGGATTGAGTGAGTAGATCTTTAACGTCCGTCTGTATACCGCCATTCACCCATGTGCTGTAGTTCCAGTAGCCACAGCCTGTGCCGGGCTGCGCTACGAGTGATGCGTCCATGTAATCGAAGCGATTTCGCAGTAGGAAGGGTAAAGGCTCCGGAAATTTCTCTGTAATATGAAATAATAAATAATAAATCCTTACATTATAGCTTGAGTAAGATAAAGCGGGTCCGTCAGATAAAAATCGGGTCCTTCGTTTCTTTTACTTGGTCATGGGAACTTGGTTTGTAACTCTAAATACTGTCATCTTAGCCACCGAGGCGGCAAGAAGTACTTCCTTGCGCTATCTGCAGAGAACTCTAGGAATATTGGAATATTACTAAAGACCTGACGATTTCATACTTAAAGAACGCATGATTCAGAAGAAATTTTTGGGCACAGAGTTGTATTTCCAGGAATTGTCTTCTAATCTCTGTAAAGTAATGCATGATTCAGCGAAGTCCTCGAATAGTGTGTTTGCTGGTAGGGATGCTTTCTAACCGTTTAAGAATTAGACGTTTGCTCTAAAGTAGGTCAGTACGGATGTGTTTACTTAATGTGGGAACAGCTTCGAGGTTTTCGGTCCACTTGCACCCACTCAATGAACGCTTGGCTGCTACTTTCACATGTTAATGAAAATGGTTGTTCTGGGTCTGCTGTGATTCATCTTGTGTTCGAAAATGGCAACTGCCTGATTGGGGGATCTTATCCAGAGAAAACTCTACGCAATCATGTCAAAATTTGAGTGCGATCAGAAGAAGCTATGTTGGAGTTTAATGTCTAAAACTGAAGTCACTATAACGACTTATAGAGACCACAACCATTGAAAATATGAAAAGATTCTCAAAATATCCCATCTGAAACCACAAATTTTGGTTGGGTTAGCTTAAAAAAGTGTTTAACAGATTGGATTTCGATAATCAAAATGCAAGTTCGCTTTCCATGTCATATTTAGTCTTCGCCGGGCTTGGTTCTTTGCCTTCTGTTCTGTTGAAAAACTAAAAACATTGTTTCTAATTACCTTCCCCAGCTGTCTACGCCTCTACAATATTCTCAAATGAAACCGTATTTGGGTATAATATTATATTCATTCAGAAGTTGGTGACTTACCTTTAAAGCCCGGTATTGATATAGAAAGAATTTTACTAAACGGCTTCGCTGTTTGCTCCAACTTCGGATCTACAAAGAGAGCATCATGACCATACACCTTCAATACCACCACAGGCGTTATACCGTTCCGCTGCATACGCAACCGCACATGTTCCCAGAGGGTTGTTGGTAAAAATCCCGCTACTTGCAGGTCAGGTTCCTCCATCAACTCACGCACAGATTCATTCATAAAAATGAAACGATAACGAAAGTTTGCTACCGCAGAATTTATCAGTGCATCTGGCATATTCGCAGACGCACTCGTCTGCAACTTCGACGCATACAAGGCTATGCCGGATATATTGGCGCAGGAGGGATTTATGAAGAAAACACTGATATTTGTTGAGATATGTGCACGTACACCCAGATGACCCATGCGCACCTCCTCAACAGCTTTCGAGTAACTGCTTGCTACATCTGCTTCCGCTTCCGATTCCGCGCTGGGACGCGACACAATTGTTGTTGTCTGCATATTCGCACAACTTTCTGCTGGCACCTGACGCACGGAGAGTGCGTCCATATATTGCTCGAAAGTTTCCAAAATCGAATTGGTCGCATTCAAATCAGCCGATATACGCAGTACCTGTTCATCGCTCGTCATCAGCCGATCACAGATACGCACCATATCCGGCGATACCTCGGGATCTTGTGCGGTAATGGCCACCTCGTGGAGAATTTGCGAGGTCAAGTGTACATCAGCGGGTAGTAATTTAAAGTTCTTCTCACGCAACATTGTATACAACTCGCCCGTCACACGGCTACGTTCCGTGGCACCACCTTGCAGCAGCTGCCCCTCTAAGAGTTTTTCATGCAGTTTGTTCAGCTTATCGCTCAGTATACATTCGCGAGTTTGACGCATGCAGGTGATGCGCGACCAATTGCTGATATCCTCCCACTCGGCGGAGCGTAGTTGCCGATTGTACCGGCATAAGCGCGTTAGCGGCAAGCCGTTCGGCATTAGGCATACTTCCCTTAGACCGGCGCGTTCACCGATGCGTGCACGCTTCCAAATATTTGTGTTTGGTTGTGTGTGATTCTCAACTATGATGTAATCATGTTCGAAAACTTCCGGTAGACAATATGATACTGCAGGCTTATCGGTAACATTGCGTTCGAGCGCTGTGTAGTTTGCGACGTCAGGCTGGTGGTCGTGCTCACCGCTTCCGCTTCCGCTGCCTCTACCGGCGTTGTTCTCAAATCGATACTCCTCCTCATAGTTGCTAATATTTTGCTGGTATGCATCACTGCTATGTAAAGCGCGTCCATTGATATTGGTAGTGGGTGTTAACGGAGTCGTACTGTCAGTGGTGGATGTGCGCTTGCTGTTGGCGTGAGAATGTGGTCTTTGCCAGATTCCTTGGTGCAAAGCTGTGCGGTCAGTTAAAGGCAGTTGTGGCAATTTGCGGAGAATCCGCTTTTCACTGGTGTCCTCATCACTATCGGAATCCGGGTAGATAGGACGCAGATGAGCGTTGACAAGTTCTTGGTAGTGTTGACTTATGGCAATTAATAAAATCAATGCAATGAATTTCATTATGAATATCAAAAAAAAAAAAAAAAAATACTGTTATGTAAGCACGTCGTTAGAGTTAAAGTCTTCTTTCGAGCGTAAGAAATTTCATTTCAGTTATTCATTTTCCGCACGAACCGACGCGACGAGTTTGCAAATCTAACGTGCTTCGCTGCAAAAACTAAACTAAAATATATTCACAGTCACAATAGAATTTCCACTCGCCGCTGAGCAATCAGCCAAAGCGCAAGCCGCCCTCCACACTCCCCTCTTCGTGCAAAACGCCTTAGAGCTGTGGTGTTGATCACGTCAAATTTTATTTATTTTTATTTTTTGCATTACTTATACATACTCACGAATAAACATACACACGCACACACACACACACACACACACACATACAAGTAATTGCTAACAATTCGATCGGCATTTCAGTGGAATTTTCAATAGCTCACCTTTTGCTTATCTTGGCATTTGATACAGTCATGCGTTGGCTCGCTGTGGGATTACCGCTATCGCAGGTGGCATGGCTTTGACTGTATTTTCGGCAATAACTTGTACTTTTACTCTTTAAACTCTCTGCAAAAATTTTATGTTTGTTTGCCAAACGTTTTATTTTTTTTCTGTGTTGATGTTGTTTTAAGATTGTTGACCGCTCGCTTGCCAGCGTTTGCTTGCCTAGGTTTGCTTGCATTCAATTATTTTGTTTATTTTTCGCGGTTCATCATTCATACACACAGACAAGTTTTTTGTTTTCGTTTAAATAACTCGATACTCGATTTATGGCGTTTAATAAATGAAATGTATTTAATGAAAATTTTTCCACTCAGATTTTTGTTTCAAAGAAATATATAAATGAATATAGTAATATATGTAATTATATAAATAATTAGCTGCTTAAAGGCACGTAACTATGTCAATAGTGCAGTTTTATATGTAGTTTGGAAAATAGGTTTCATGACCACATATGTAGAGTATGCTGACTATGTAGCATACAAAAATGATTAATGAAATTTAAGTTCTTCCGGCGTGCGTTAGAAATTTTTTTCCATTTATATATGTACATATATTTATTGTCAATCCATTTATTTTATTTTAGCCCATTTTATTTATATTTCAAAAAATAATCTAAACTAATATATAAAATATTTAAAAAAAAAATTAAAATTAGTTTTATTTGGTTTTATCTTATTTGATTTTTCTTTATTTTCTATTTCACTTTATCTATACGAGATGTGTTCAAAAAGTATCGCGAATTTTGAATTTTCGCGAGTTACGTGTAATCGAATTTCGATTTTTTTTGTGGCGTTATGTTGGTACTCATGTCTGTCACTTATGCCGACAAGCTCGGCCCATTTTGAATGTTCACTTAATTGTTGACAGCTGCTTTGCTTGCACGTGGCTTTTGCACCGCGATAACGCTCCTGCTCATACATCGTTGCTAGTGCGCGACTTTTTGGCCAAAAACAACACACTAATGATGCCGCAGCCACCGTATTCAATAGGTCTGTGACTTTTTCTTGTTCCCTATACTGAAGAGGCCCATGAAAGGACGACGTTACGCTACGATTGACGAGATAAAGACGGCATCGAAGGAGGAGCTGAACAAGTGTATAATATCTCATGAATCAATAAATAATTTTTGAAAAATCACAAAATTCGCGATATTTTTTGAACACACCTCGTATCTTTCTCTTTTATTTCTATTTTTTATTTTGTTGTAGTTATTTTATGATCGCCGAGTATTTTCTATCATTTCACTTGATATTGCTATATTTTGCTTGAACTTATTTTTTTACATATTAACGGATTATGTATGTATGATTTTATTTTATATATTTAATGTAGTTCTTTTTAATTCAAATTTTAAAATCCTTACTAAAATTAATGTATTATATATTTTATTTATTGTATTTAATTTATTTAATTTTAGCTCATTTTATTTAATATAAATTAATTTAATTTAATTTTATTTTATTTAATCTTATTTCATTCTAATTTAATTTACTTTATGGGGTTTTTTATTAAACTGTTTCAGACCATATATTTTTGGAAATAGTAAAAAAAATACAACAGTTTTGGATGGTAATAATAAATCATTTTAATTCAATTTAATTTAATTTTGTTTTATTTCATTAAATTTCATTTTTTTACTTTTTTCTTTGTTTAGTTAATTTATTTTATCTAGTTTTATTGTACTTCATTTAATTTAATTTAACTTTGTTTGATTTTGCTCTATTAATTGTATTTTATTTAACTTTAGTTCATTTAATTTATTTAGTTTCAATTTATTTTACTTTCTTTTGTTTTAATTTAATTTATTTTGTTTTACTTAGTTTTTTATTGAACTGTTTCAGGCCATATATTTTTGGAAATACTTAAAAAATAACACCAACGGTTTTGTACGGTAGAAGTTGTAGCTGCCATTTCGCTTCCTTATCAGACTTCTTTTTCCAGACACCTTTGTGCGAATTGAATTCGAACTTGTGATGCCCACAGCACGAGCCAGTGGTTATCCTATTAAGCTACATGTATGTCGCTTTTACTTATTGTGAAAAAATTACAGCAACAGTTTTGGACGGTAATAATTAATTCAATGTAATTTAATTTAATTTTGTTTTTATTTTTTTTTTTCAATTTATTTTTTTTTACGTTTTTTCCGTTTATTTTTATTATTTAATTTAAGCTTATTTTGCTTCATTAAATATAATTTAAAATTATTCATTTTTGTTTTATTTTATTTTGTTTTATTTTATTTTGTTTTATCTTATTTTAATTTATATTTTTTCTTTTACTTTATGTTATATTATTTTTATTATTATTTTTTTAATATACTTTTATTCTCAAATTATTTAAATTTTTTTAGTCTTATTTTGCTTCATTTAATTTTATTTGTTTTTATGTATTTTTATTTTATTTATTTCGCTTGATTTACCTGTATGTTATTTTATTTTTATTTTATTTTATTTCATTTAATTTTATATTATTTTATTTCATTTGATTATATTTTATTTTGCTTCAATTTATTTTACTATCTTTTAATTTAGTTTATTTGTAATCAAACAGTGCTTTTAGCCCTGATGCTGTTACAGCCAACGATACTCAATTTCGGTTTCGTAGATTTCATATCGGTCGCCAGACCTTGGGGGTAGGTGTTCCAGTATTTGCTGGCGGTGAGACAGGTTTGTCATAAGAGGCAGCTAAAATCCAAAAGGAATCCAGAACGACATTGATTTTTATGCTGCCAAAGACTGTCATTCTCGCTACATTCCCCAAAAACTAATTTTGGGAATGCTTTTGCGGCCACAACAACAACAACGACAACAAATTAATGTCTCACCAGACTCTCCGAGCGCTTGGCTGGTAGTTTATTATGCATCCACATTATAGTCCAAACCTCGTACCATATGAGTACCATATTTTGCTGTCTATGGCTAATAAATTGACTGGTGAATTGGCCAGCTAGTGAGAATCGATTGCATAATTAATTAAAAATCATATTTTTTACAGAAATTAATTGCTGAAATTTTACATAGAAAGCCTTAACTCACTTATCGAATTGTGGTTTTAGCTATTTGAAATGAAATTTTTACCGAATTAAATATCAGCATAAGGTATGAGGAAGACCTTGTAGTCATGTGTATGTGGTTACTGAATTGAGGCAAAATTTAAAAAAATTATATAAAAAAAATTGTTGCTATCAGTATCGAATGCAATTGATTGGCATTGAAGATAATATTGTTTACACAAACAAGTTACGCTCATTGTTTAGTTGCATTTCTGAGCAAGTATGTTACCATATATGTATATATATAATGTATGCACGGCGCCAACAAAGCATCAGCGATAATGTACAAATTTAAATAAAATAATACAACATATGCATATTATATAATTAGGTAAACAACAATAATAGCCGAAAGCAAGAAAGCAGATGCGCGTAAATAATGTCATAATGAAAAAAAAAATATGTGTGTTAATATATACATATGTACGTACATATTTAACATATTCATCTGCGCGTGCGGTAAGGTGCTAACAGTAGCTGGAATATGTCAGATGAAGCAGATGTGTTTTGGAAATTTTATGATACATATTTAATTACACACCCATACACATATATGTACATGTTCGTATGCTTGTATACCACCGGTTGAATTCTTGTTTTCGCCCGTTGGCTGCTTCTGCATGATGGATGACGAATACGGTGGAGACCGCATTGAATTGGCGCTAACAGCCTCAGCAGTACGGCATAAGCTAATACACATTTTATTATGCGCGTTTACTTGAACTTTAAAATCCAATCTTTAATTGTGAGTAGGTTTGAAATTTCAGTGGAGCACTTGAAGAAGGCAGCAAAAAAATGCTCAAAGCAATTAAGAACGAAAATTGGAGTAGAGAGGCTGATGAGCCAGCAATGAATTGGTTTTTTAGCAGAAAAATTAAAAGTAAACAATAACACTAATTTACAAATTAAAATATCTCAATCACTTTCTCACATCATTTCATTTTAAAAATACCTTCAAACAACTTAATAAAGACTGCCTATGAGTAAATAAAGGGAAACTCAATACTGATATAGAAGTGAATTATATAATTTAAGACGGTCTTCTAGTTAACAAGTAAAAGACCGAATTTTGACATTTTTTAAAACATCGTGCCTTGAAAACACGTAGTAAATATTTTTCAGTTCGGTTTTTTGTACTTATTAAAAAAAATATACATATGTATGAAAAGTACAAATTCGTAGTGTGGCTCAGAAGTTCTCGACCTTCAATTATGGTAACGATGAAAAGTATGTCTAACGTTCGCACGATTTGGAGAGCTTACTGTTTCTGAAGAAACATGGTGGCATAGTTAGCAAGAAAACCTTAATTTTATTTTATTTATTCTGTAATTCCAATTTGTTATATTAATTTAGCTAATTTTGTTTGTTTGTTGTTTTTTAAAGTTATTTAACTTTACCTTGCGTTAATATTTATTTTTATATTGTCATTTATTTACTTATTTTTTATTGCGTTTTTCTGTATTTAATTGCATTTCCTTTAATTTAATTCTAAATTTTTGTATTTAACTAAATTAATTTATTTTATTTTATTTTATTTTATTTTATTTTATTTTATTTTATTTTATTTTATTTTATTTTATTTTATTTTATTTTATTTTATTTAATTTAATTTAATTTTATTTTATTTTATTTTATTTTATTTTATTTTATTTTATCTTATTTTATTTTACATTAATACTTGTAATATATTTAAATTAATTTTTTTTTGTTATATTGCATATTATTTTAAAGTGTTTTATTTTACTTTGTTTATATAATTTTTATTTTTTAATTTTAATTGAGCTTATATTAAATATTTTTTTTAATTTACATTTTACTTTATTTTATTGTATTTTATTTTAATTTTTTTAATATTTTTTATTTTATTTTAAAATTGTTTATAGGTTTTTGTTTATGTTTTATATTATTTATTATTATTTCTTATGTTATATAAATTAAATGTTTTAATTTTTTATTTTATTTACTATTATTCTATTTTATTTAGTTTATTGAAAAATTGCTTATAGTTTTTATTTTATATTACTTTTTTAATGTTTCTTATGTTATTTAATTTAAGTGTTTTAAATTTTTAATTTATTTAATATAGTTATATTTTATTTAATGTTATTGTGAACCATTTTATACAATAGTATTTGATTTAATTTTACTATTTATATTATTTTATTTGATTTTATATTACTTTAATTTTTTCAATTTTTTAATGGTTTTGATGTTATTTTACTTTATTTTATTTTATTTTTTGTTTTATTGCATATAATTTTATAGTGTTTTATTTTATTTATTTTTATTTTATTAATTATATTTGAGTTTATATTAAATAATTTTTTTTTAATTTACTTTTTATTTTATTTCATTGTATTTTTTTAATTTTTTTTTAATTTTATTGTAAAATTGTTTTTAGTTTTTTATATTATTTTTTATTATTTCTTATGTTATTTAATTTAAATATTTTATTTTTTTTTTTAATTTATTTTATTTTATGTTACTTTATTTTATTCTATTTCTGATATTTATTTTTGTTTATATTATCTATTTTGTTGGACAGTGTAATTTGCAGAAGCATGAATTTTTCGAATAATTTATACTCATGTAAACAAAAGTAAAAAGTAATCATATAAAATTTAGCTGTGTGCAAGCCATAATAAAAAAGTAAAAGTAATTCAATTTTTTTCATTTTTGCTTCTTTCCAACCTGTTTAGCAATTATTAGGTAATTTCAATAATAAAAAATATGCAAATTTTGCTCAAAATATTTATTATTTACGAAAGACTTTTATAGGGCAATAATGCTTTGATGTCTGTATATTTCGTTTGCTTGTTTACCATAGCAACATTCTGAATAAATAAACAAAGCAGAGTGCTTTTTAGTGAGAAGTGATTTAACAAAAATTTGCATTTAATGAAAATGGTCAAATACGATACTTGCTAGTGCTACCACGCGCTCTTCTCTGATAGCGTTGACTTACTGCAATGTGATATATTTATCCGCAGACACATAAATGGCAATTACACCAATCTGCTTGTTTATGCGATTTAAAAGTTATGACTCACATATATTTATTTGTTTTACGCTATCGTAATATGTAGCTAAATTTACCGCAATATTGGTAAATGTTGCCATATTTGTTAATTGCCTTATCTTATCTGTGATTTTTTCTAAAGCTGATATGTACGTATATGTAATCGCTTCAGCTGATAGTTGTGCGCATTTATTTACATACTATTATATATTTACCTACAAAATTAGTATCTTGATAATTTCTGTTAAAGCGGAATAAAGCCATTATCTCTGTACAGGGTGTTTTCATAGAGGACAACTAACCTGTTTTTGTACCAACCTGTATGTTTTAACAGCTTTATCCACTACTACTAAGCTATTGTGAGTTGGTCATGAATGGAATGCATTGCGCTGGTGTGGTCGCAAAATTTGAGTAAAATCTGAGTCATTTAGCTTTTGAAAAAGTTTTTAAATATTATAAATATAATGAAAAGAAATTTTTCTAGCGCACTGGTTGCTATTTTTTGAATATTTAATAACGTCAAATCATGTAAATTTGTATGTTTGAAGGTAAAAATTAGGATAGAATATTTCAATAATACACAAAAATATAGTTTTAATCGACAATAATGCCCTTAGGCTTACAGAGTTCAGTTAACACAAGAGTTCAAGCCGGCCAAACAACAAAAACTTGATGTGTTTGAGGATATGATGATACGGAATCATACGGAATTTCATCAAAAAATCATCTTGACTGATGAGACCTATTTCCACCTCGATGACTACGCCAATAAGCAAAACTGTCGCATCTGTGGCTGGGAAGAACCCAAGGTTGGCTGTTCAGTGCGGCTGGATTAGTGGACCTTACTTTTTCCAGAATGAGGCCATGGCATCGGAAGGTATTGATTTGGACAACGTTTACTTTCAACAAAACTTCGTTACTGCTCACACAAGTAAGGAACCATCGCTAATTCAAGGGAAAAGTTTCAGACCGTGTTATCTCTCGAAAAGGTGATCGCAATCGGTCACCGAAATCTTGTGAATTAATACCTCGAAATTTCTTCCTTTATGGCCACGGTAAAGATAAGGTCTACGCTAACAGGACAACGTCGATTCAAAATCTCAAAAATGAAATTCAAGATTTGCTATTATTAGTGGGAAATCTTGCTCTTTATATTGAAATCAACATCCGATAGCTTTTCTCACAAAACGCCATTTTTCTTTGAACATCAAAAGAAAACCTCTTATTGGAAAACCCTGCGTTCTGCTTTCTTCGGACTGGATAAGGAAGCGACGAAAATAGGTCCAGTAGTGAACGAGGGAAAGACGAAATATCTGCAGTCATCAAACAAACAGTCCTCGCATTCGCGACTTGGCTCCCACGTCACTTTTTAGAGTCATAACTTTGAAGTCGTAGATAACTTCGTCTATGTTGGAACCAGTGTTGACACCAACAATAATGTCAGCTTCGCAGTCCAACGCAGAATCACTTTTGCCAACTAGTGCTATTTTGGACTGAGTAGGCAATTGAAAGGTGAAGTCCTCTCTCGGCGAACGGAAACCAAACTCTACAAGTCGCTCATCGTTCTCGTTCTATTATGTCGCGCGGAGGCATCGACGATGACAAAATCAAGTGAGTCGGCTTTAGGTCCTCGAAAAAAAGGTTTTGGGTAAGATTTAGATCTCCTACGTGTTGGGAATGGTGAATTCCGCAGCCGATGGCGTCACTGACTTAGTACAGAGAATCAGGAAACAGGGGCTGCACTGGCTAGGTCACGTTGTCTGGATAGATAAGAGTGCTGCAGCTTAGAAAATTTTGCATGCAGTCCCCGCCGGTGGAGGGAAAGGAAGAAGAAGACTTCCACTCAGGTAGAGAAGAACCTGGCTGCACTTGGTATTTCCAATAAGCGCTAAACAGCGAAAAGCCGGAGTGAATGACGCGATGTTGTTAACTCGGCCATATTCTCGTAAACTTTAGAGAAGTGTGAACTGCGTCTGGTTTCGACTTTTTTGGAAGATTTTGCTGCTTGCGAAGAAACTGACGTATTTAAAAAAATTTAAACTATTTCTTACATTCATATTTATTTATACAAACTGATGTACACTACACACAAAGTAAAAAAAAATATTTCTCACGGAGAATTAGAATTATTGAAAAAATAAATAACACAAAAATGGAATTAAATCTAATAAACACAACAACAACTGATCATTTAGCTGTTGGCGTTAGTGTTTGAAGAATAGACTCGGCGGAATGTAGGCATTCGATGGCTCAGGTGCGGAGGCCGCAGCAGCTTCCACAGCTGGTGCGAGGTATTGATTGTTGACATTGGAAGCAGCTGGTGCAATTAGTTCACTATTCACGTTAGACGCTGCGGGTGCTAGGTATTGGCTATTCACATTGGAAGGGGCGGGCGCCAAATACTGATTATTCACGTTGGACGCTGCTGGCGCGAGATATTGCCTATTTACATTAGACGCAGCCTCATGACCGCCGATTTCGATCACATTTCCACCACCATACTGCTGCACAATCTGTTGCTGCAGTTGTTGCGCCTCAGCAGGTGTGCTATACTTGAGGTGATGCACTTCCGGTTGATGGGATTTGTATGTGGTGACGTGTTGCTGAGACGCAGCTGGTCTTGGTGCACTGCGACCGGCTGCCTTGTTGAGCACATAAATGTGTGTCTTCGTTTCTTCGCTGACATGTGGCACAGCGTTACGCACAGGTTGGTAGTGAGATTTTCTGCTTGTGCTCTCAGGTGCCTGAATGAAAATCACATTTAAATGTTTCTTCACTACTGTGGGCACGGGCTGTGATGCTAGTGCAACGGGCCGTTGAGCAACAGTCTCTTTTGGTGCGCTGAAGTAGTAAAAGTCCTTACGGTAAACGGGTGCAGCTTGTTGGCTGTATTGCTGAGAGGCGGCTGCTACTGGTGTGGCAGCGTATTCTGGTTCTGGTGCGACGGATAGCACCCCTGGTGCTGGCCCCGATGGTGCAGCATACACTTGTGGTTCAGGTACGCTGGCGCTGGCATAATTGTAACCACCACTTTGGGCTGCGGCAAGGGCCAAGAGACTGAAGCACTGCGATGAAGACAGAAAGGTTATAAAAATAAATTGTTAATGTGAAATTTGGTGTTAAAATTTAATTTTAAAATAATTAATTAATTGAATTAATTAATTTTTATCTCACCACACAATAGCGGAACATAATAACGGCGTTAGTTCTATACAACTTAGCGACTTTGTACAAAATACGCTCCAATTCCTTTGCTCGGCTGTTTTATATCAAAGTAAGTCAAGGCGGCGCGCTTGCCGGCAAAATTCTTGAATTACCAGTTCACGGTTGCGATGGGCTTAAGACGAGAATCCATATATAAAATTAAAATAAGTTTCAAAAAAAAATTTAAAATTTCAGTAAAAGAGAACAGCGTGAAAGTCTAGCAAAGCAGCAAGAAAAAAGCAAAAAAATGTGAAACCAAAAACTGTGAAAATTGATTTTAAATTAATTTGAACTTCTCCCGCTCATAACCGTATTACTTAAGTCCCTAATTTACTTGTGTCTCAACGCTTGTAAAGCATATGAGCTTAATTTATGCAAACATTTATGAATTTTATGCAAATAGTCGGCAAGAACCAACGCCAAAGCATACACCTACTCACATACATACATGCCTACGAATGTAGAGGAGATGAATACAGCATACATTAAGGAATATTTAATGTTTTTAATTTATTTTTTTTTTTATTATTTTTTTATTTTGTAGCTAAGCACACTTGCGCTCACGGTTAAGGCGGATCCACTAGAGACCGGTCAAAAACTTGTATTGATGAAATTCCCAACATTCATTATTCCCGAAATTATATCATCGTTAATTCCTAATGACAACGGAATTGACACACATAAGTGATTTTCTAATGCAAAACAAAAGCTGAAATTATCAAAAAATAATTAAATTATTTACTGGCTAAATTTTCTGAGCTTGAAAGTATGCACGGATTGTTAATTGGCCCAAGGCAGATTCGGCGCAAAAAAAACTGTATTAAATAGTATTTATTGTACAATTTGATTCTTCAAAACAACTTTTATTATTTTAGCGATCATTGTGATAATGAAATTGAAATGCATAAATACTCTGCAGATTATAAGGCCGATGGATTCTGCTACCGATTTCAAAAACAATGGTTTTAAAGATCAAGTAAAAATTTCGTTCGTTTTTTATTGATTTTTAAAAATATGGTAACTTTGTGCCAACTTCATTTTACCCCTTTCGTAGAAGGCTGCATCACTACTGGCAAAAAACTCGGACAGGACGATGGTAATCACTTGGTGTCAGGTCCGGACTATTAGGTGAGTGCGTTAGGACCTCCCATCCGAGCTCCTCTAGCTTGAGGCGCGTCACCAAATACATGGCGTTGTCCTGATGGAATACAACTCGGCCTCTGTTGATCAAAGATGGCCTCTTCTGGATGAGTGCTGCCTTCAAGCGGTCCATTTGTTGCCAGTAGAGGGCCGAATTTAGCGTTTGGTCATAGAGGAGCAGCTCGTAGTAGATGATTCCTTGCATATCCTACCTTCCTGTCCGTCAATTCGGTCTTGGCCACCGTCTGAGTCGTTTCCTCGAGCTTTGAACACGGCCGTTTGAGCTCGATGTTGTCGTAATTGACCCATTTTTCATTGCCAGTTACAATCCAATTCAGAAACGGGTCATTTTAGTTGCGATGCAGCAGATGAAAATTCGGTCCATCATGTTTTTTTTGCGTTAGCTCGTTTGGCACCCAACAACATCGATTTTTTTTTGTATCCAAGGATATGCAAATAGTTCCAAACGGTTGTCTGGCTTATCTTTAGTTCCTCAGCAAGTAAATAAGTGCTCACGTGAAGGTCTGTTGCGACTATTTCCATGATTTTATCACAATTTTCTACGACAGGCCTTCCGACGCCTGGTGCATATTTGACATCGAAATTACAGGAACGGGACCTAGCAAACCACTTTTCAGCCACTTGGCTGCTTTTTCGCCGTGATCGAAGAAAAATCGTAAAAATGTGCAAATTTTCTCTTTGCTGGTGTCCATCTTTGACGAGCGCTCACAACGTACGGAGTCAATAAATCTAAAAACTTTCAAAGACAAACTTTTAGCGCGAATAAACACGTTTTCAGCTCTGTATAGTATGACATGAAGCGATACGTAACACTAGTAATATGGACAATAACGCCATCTTTTAGATAAAACCCGAACGAACTTTTTATTTTACCAATATGTGGTGTTCATAAACAAATAAACTTTATGGTCAAGAATTCAGCTTAATTATTAAGATATGCCATTATTTTTTAAAAACTATTGCAAACAAGTGATTTCCAAGACTGCCTCGAAAAAATTTGAGACGAGAGCATAAATTTTTGATCACTTTTCGCAGCGATTGGAGATGTATGGCAGCAATCACGCTCTTAACATTCTCTTCCAAAGCATCGATAGTGTTGGTCCAAACTGCGTAGTCAAGCGACTGCACATAATCCCCAAAAAAGTAGTCCAGCGGTGTTAAATCACACGATCTCGGAAGCCACGCCATAGGCCCACAACGCGAGTTAATGCGCCTCCTTCAATGAATACATTGTTTCGATCGCTGTGTAGCTAGCTTAAGCCATAGGTCGGCCACATCCTTCAATTTCAAGCACGAAAACGTGATTCACGACAGCTCTATAGCATTCTGTAGCATTGACCTTAACATGGCGTGTATTCAAAGGTTAATCAAATGCTATCAGCCTACGACTTACTCGTAAATTCATTGTGCTCTTGGAAAGGCGAAATTCCCTGGATTGATCTTAGAACTTTTTATCTAAAACCTTTTCGTGTTATAAATAAGAAGCAAAAGTAAAAGTATGATATTTATTTCACATCGAAGAATTTACATTACGCCCACAAACATATCCTTCAATTAGATATTATATTATTGGCGATTTGTATCCTCCAATTTGTGTTTTTGTGTCTTGATGTTTTTCCAACAAATGGAGCGACCTACAGTTTATACTGAAAAAGCTTTTGATTTTCATGTCAGAAATACACTCAGAGAGCTTTACTTAATTTTTTATTTAAATTAATTTTCTATAAATTTTTGGTTGATTGTAACCACAAGGCTACAGCGGAGTTTTACAAAAAAACTCACTAAATTAAGAATGTAGTAAAGATTACAGCCAAACAAAATTAAAATAAGTATTTTTTCAAAATCAAAGATCCAAAAGGAGTAAAAAACAAAAAAAAACTGAAAATAACGATGAAATTTTGTACGCGCATTGTGCTTGGCATTCCACTGTAAACTACTCAATAGTTATCTCCGAGAACAGTCGCGTAGGGTTGCCACTTCAATAGTGTTCACAAGAATACTGAAGAGATACAGTGTGGATCATCATACCAGAGAATTGTATGTCGTACTGTATTTTGGTTTAAAAATATCATTTTGGCAAAGATTTAAAAAAATTCTTTTCATAATTTCAAAATTGAATATTCGCAATTTTTGTTTTCATTTGTTTCATAATGCCATCAATGCATAAAGATAGCTTTGGACACTTCTGTTTCCGAAAAAGATTTTTCAAAGCTCTTAATTTCAAAATATTTTCCAATAAAGTACTTTTGACTTGAAGACGAATAAAAAATTCTGGGGTAAAACTGAAATCCATTTTTTTTACTAAGAATTCAATATAATATTATATAATATATTTAACATGAATTAGTAGTTTAAAATAAACAGTACAAATAACTCTTAATTGAATACCCTAAAAGTTACTGCATCCGCCGACAGTTGGGTCTGCCTGGCGCTATTTATAATAAAGTATAAAATGCCTTTCGAAGGCCTTTAGTATGTTACTTATATAAGTAAAGGGTGATTTTTTAGCTATTATCTTTTTGGCAACACTGGCTTAAATAGCTGACGCACGTTTCGCGTTTTGTATCACCATCAAACATTTTCAGTTTGGTCTATAATTTGACCATGAATCATCTTAGAAACGAGCAACGCTTGCAAATTACTGAATTTTATTATCAAAATGCGTGCTCTGTTAAGAAAGTTCATGGCATAAATAAGCAGAAGCATTGCAAGAGCTACCAATGCATCTAGAAGGGGGCACAGTTTGGTGCGGTTTATGGGCTGGTGGCATCATTGGAACGTACTTCTTCAAATCTGATGCGAATCGTAACGTAACTGTGAATGGTGAGCGCTGCCGCAAGATGATATCAAACTTTTTTTTTGTCCAAAATGCAAAAGCTTGACTTGTATGACATGTGGTTTCAACAAGACATTGCTACAAGCACAGACTTATTGAGGGGAGAGTTCAGTGAGCATTTTATTTCACGTTCAGGACCGATCAATTGGCCGCCTAGGTCATGCGGTTCAACGCTTTTATGCTATATTTTGCGGGGCTATGTTAAAGCGGCCGCGGTGGCCGGGTGGTTAGCATTGCTTACTGCCATTCGGAAGGCTCAGGCTCCAATCCACGTGCGACCAACATCCAAAAGCTATAGAAAATTAATTTAAATAAAAAATTAAGCTAACTAATTGCGGTCGCCCCGCAGCAGAGAATGTCAACCCCTCCGAGTGTATTTCTGACATGAAATGAAAATCCATTAAATTATATGGACCGTACTATAGATTCAAATAAAGATTTCATGCAATTTTCTGAATTTTTTTGAAAAACTTTCCTATAGCTCTTAAAAAATCACTCTTTATAATATTTATATCTTTCTACACTAAAATCTTCAGAATGCTTGCTTGAGTACAACTTTATTAAGCATCCGTACATACAAGCCATCGCGAGAATATTTTTGATTTAATTTCAACTAAAGTCATTGACACAAGAAAAATTCATAAAATAGTTTTAAATTCCAGAATTTTTGATTTATTTTCGCATTACTAAACACGCCCTTACCCACATGTATACTCACACAAGCATAAAACAGGCTTGGAGTCCAAAAATTCATTTACAGCGTGAATTTATTCAATGTCTAATCATGCATAATTAATTTAAATTTAAACGCTGTGCTTACAATATTAGACTTTTTGGCATTAACTATATACTATTAGCAATAAGATCTTTCATTCAGTTTTATTTTTAATTTAATTTGTAGAGTCGGAAGCATCAAAGCAGTGAAGAATAGGAAAGCATAAAAACGGCTTGAAGTGCGAAAATATTTTTAGGTCTGGAAAAAGAAAAGAAA